GTCAGTTGTTAGTTGTTGTTGTTAGGTGCCGTCGAGTCAAGCACAACTCATAGCAACCTTATAAACAAAAATCTGAACTCTGTTCTGTCCTGCGCCATCCTCACACTTCCTGATACACAAGAGCCCGTTGCAGCAGTCATCATGTCAGTCCACCTGATTGGGTCTTCTCCTTTGCCGACCCTCCACCCTTCCCAGTATTGTGTCCCTCTCCAAGGAATATCACCTACTACCAACATGATCTAAGTATGTGAGGGGATGAAGCCTCATCATTCTTGCCTCCAAAGAGCACTCCAGCTGCACCTTCTCCAAGAAATATGTTTGTTCTCTTGGCTGTCCATGGGATGCTCTTCGCCAACACCGCAGCTCAAAGGCATCAATTCTTCTGTCATCGTTATTCATTGTCCAGGTCTCAGTTGCTCAGCAAGTAATCATTGGAAAGACTATGGCCTGAATCAGACACACCTTAGTCCTCAAACTGACATCATTCCTCCTGAGTAATTTGAAGAGGTCCCTAACTAAAGATATTGCCACTACAGTGTGTCTCCTTATTTCCTGACTGCTGGTACCAAGTAAGATGAAGCTGATATGAAGTCAGAAGACGTGGCCACATTGCCAATCCTCCTCTGACAACAGACCATGCTAAAAAAGATCTTGTGTTTATAGTAAGCCATTCTCCCCCGCCCCCAATCTGTCTCAGTAGAAAAAAGGGAAATGAAAAATGAAGCTTTATTATTGTTATGTATCGTCAAGTCAGAACCGACCCATAGCTGACCTTCTGGGGGTTTTCAGAGGCAGTTAATCCTTCTCCCACAGAGCAGCTGGTGGGATTCAAACAATGTGCCTTTGGGATTGCAGCACAGCTTCTTGCCACTAGGCCACCAGAGCTCCTAGTGAACATTGGATTTCTGAATTTTACTGACAGATTTTATTGGAGTGAATGTCAGGTTGTATTTTTAGGGAGTCATGGCCTACTAACCCAAAAAGAGCACCTCTCTGCCAGTTTGAATTCACTAGTGGCTTCTCCTGGAGGAACATGGCCAATCTCTTTTCTTACCTTGTGATTAATGGTCTCCAAGCCTAGTGAAAGGTCAACCTGGGTCAGTTCAGTGTCAACAGCAGTGGGAGGGTAAGTAGTAACAGCTTTACTTTTACACACCTTAGTGATTGTATATTTCAGAGTTAGGTATAAAAATGAACATGATGTGGTTATGTGCCATTAAGACTCCTGTGACCCAAAGTGACCCTGTGTACAGCAGCTCTGAAGCCTGCCCTGTCCTGAGCCAGTCTCAATAATCCTGACACACCACCCCCATTGCCACAGTCACTGTGTATCAATCCATCTATATCATCCAGACTCTTCCTCTCCTTAGCTGCCCCCCCCCAACCTTCCAAACATGATGTCCTTCTCCAAGGACCAGTCCCTCCTGGCCACATGGGAGCTTCAAAATCCTAGCCTCCAAGGAGAAACTTTGTTTCACCCTAACACAGACCTGTTTGTTTGGTGGTCCATGGTATGTTCACGACTTCTCCAGCACCACAATTTAAAGGCATCATTTCTTCTGTTATCATTGCCCAGCTCTCTGATGCATAGCAAGTTATTGTGAAGACCATGGCCTGGATCAGGTATACTGCACTGGGCTCGTCTCCAGATTAACATCGTTGCTTTTCAGTATTCTGAAGAGGTCCCTAACAGCAGACTTTCCCAATGCAATTCTCTTGCGTTTTTGTCTTTTGATTTCTTGATTGCTGGTGCCAAGAATGCTGATTGTGGAGCCTAGCAAGCTATAAAACAGTGTTTTTTAATTATCTGCAATTTCCAATGGAACTGAAAGCAGCGATATAGAAACATGTATATGTACTGTATATAGGGATCATGTATCTATTTCACATGTATCCTTCAAAAATGAAATTCTTAAATATATACTCCCTTGTGCTGCTGCTAATAAAACATACACAAGCCAAACCTGTCTGCCAAGTGGTTTTGAAAAATGGAATGTAATTTTACTTTTTCAGGGTGTTCTCCCCCTTACAGTTTCAGTACAACCAGGCAGTAAGTTATTTCTAATTATGTTTTGATTCGGCTTTATTTTTAAAAAGAAAGAAACAAACAAACAAACAAAAAACCCAGCCCAAACATCAAAAACGTCATAGACAAACAATATCATATGGTATTTTGGAATCTACATTTTGTTTCCCTTGATTTTCATGTTTTCATTAGGAAAGATACATACTATAATTTCTTTAATTTAAGAAATCACATGTTTTGGGGAGCTCTGGTGGCCTAGTGGCAAGGAGCTGCAACTACAATCCCAGAGGCTCATGGTTCGAATCCACCAGATGCTCTGCTGGGAAAGGAGGGACAGTCTCCTCCTGTACCAGTCAGATCTGATTTGACGGTACACTCACACAAAAATAAAAAAAAAAATTAAAAAAAAATCACTTTTTATAAGTCTTTCAAGAGATTTCAGCCTTCTCTCCACAGCAAATTTGAACATCTTGGAACTTAAGAACTAACATAAAATAATGATTTTATAAATAAGTTGACTTATATAGAATGTTTCTTAGTAATTGTAAAATACAGTGAGTATGTAAGTGACAACATTGTATTTTCTTTGCAATTTGAAAATGGGGGACAGTTACATTGTTTTTGTTCCAAAAGTGTGGTTTTGTTTTTAAAAGGATTTATTCATCCTATTTTGAGCATATTTTAACTTGTTGCCGCAAATGACAGCTATAAAGCATAGTCTAAGCATGTTTGTCAATTTAAAAGTGTGCGGCAGTGTGTTAAAGAAATACGTGTATGTTGTTGTTGTTTCCCATTGAGTCACATTCAATCCTTAGCTGACCCTCTGGCAGGTTTTCAGAGGCAGTTAACCTCACAGAAGGAGATTACCCATCCTTTTCCCTTGTGAGAAGCTTGTGGATTCTAATTGCGTGCCTTCAGGATTGCCGCACAAGTTCTTGCCACTAGGCCACTAGCGCTCCCTGATAGGCGTATACTTATGACCTTATGCTAGGTCTTTCAGAAAGAAAACTCATTCTAGGAATTTACAATGTCTTCTGCTTAAAAATATACTTATTTTGAGAAATATGTTGGTGCCCAGTCGATGCTCCTACATAGTTTTGGAGCCAGATATACTTGTACAACTAGGAATGACTTATGTATGACCTTTGGTAAGTGACTTATTTGATTCATCACTCTCATCTGGGATGATATCTATCTCTCACATTTGTTTTAAAGTGTTAAAATGAAAAAAAAAAAACCCAAACAAACCAAAATCCAAAAAACAAAACCAACACACCAAGCTTGGAGAAATTGATATCTCTGTAATGTTTGTTCTTCCATTTAGGTATGCTCAGACTCCTAAGCTTACTCAATAATATGTTTAGGAAACAATGAATTAATAAAGATTTAAAAAGAAATTTAATTCAAATACACAAATAAATCCTGTGTCTCTATTTGCAAGCCATTGCTTGATCTGTTTCCTGTTTTCTCTTTTAAAAATTGATATTGAAACTGAACACTTAAAACACAGTGTACCTATATTTAACATAAGGTTTATTTAATTAGTTGATTGTATCACTTAACAATTTTTAGAGAGAATGGTAGAAGTATGAAACCCTTTGAGTCTGAAGTGCTGCGCAGGAAGATAAACTGAATTTTGAACCTGCATCTTGTATTTCTTTTGTTCCCTTTTCATTAAAGCAAGAAGATCTCATTTATTCCAAGGCATAATGAATCCAGCAATACAGGAAATGAAACTTTAGTTTGTTCAGTAGGTTATTAAGACATTCCACAAGCCATCATCAAATATTTCCCCATTTTTATACTCATTTCTTTCACAATTGATAAATACCTGGCAATAGTTTACTGGATGAGTGTATTGGTTTTCTAAAGTACATTTGGAATATTTAATGGTTGAGTCCCCTGAGACACTTTCGCAAAGGAAACGGTCAGATAATTTAATAAAGAAATAAATAGGTAAAGAATGGAAGGAATGTTAGCATTTGGCACTAAATTCACAGTGCCACCGCTTCAAGAGCTGTAGCTCTCCATCTTCTTTTTACCAACGGCTGAGAGGTACTGTCACTAAATTATTCTTATTACATAAGAACCCTTAGTTTAGAAGGACACACCAGAATGGAGTATTTTCAAGTGGTTATTTTCTGGGGCATTCCCAACCTTCTGTTGTGTGCTGGTGAAGCAAACCCCTCTACAAAGCTGCTACAAAGTTGCGGAGAGGCGGTACTTCATCCTGATACTTCTTCCCCGGAGTCGCTACAAGGTTGCGAAGAGACCTTGCGGCTACTTGGTCGCTTCATCCCGGAGGCGCTGTTTGACACCTACCGCACCAGGAAGGCTGGAGGCGCCCAGGACTGATTATGGACCACTGATTACGCTCCTTCCGGAGAGCAGTTTAGTAGTGATCTCATAAATTTAGAGTTTGCGGCCAGTTTTTTTTCCTCTCCATTTCACAATCTGGTGGAGACTCGCTCGTTTTCCAAGACTTCCAGAGACATACCTTTGCACAGGATTTAGCGTGTGCGCATGCGCTTGACACACAGCTCCAAGAGTGGCCCTTAGGACTGCAGTTCTCAGGTTTACCCTCTTAGCACCAACCAGCAGTGAAGTTCAAAGGGCTCTTGTCTGTTGGTCTCTGGGGCAGCGCCAAGGACAATTCCCACCACTTCCCACTCCTCCCTAGGGGTCATTTGCTAGCCACTTCTTGCTAGGAAACCCTAGGAGGATAGATACCCAGGGGCGCAGCGTTCCTCCCCCAACTCTAGCTGCGAGTCAACCCACTGTTTTGGGTTTGATTTCACTGTGAGCACTGAGGCTCAGAGCCAGCAAACCCCTCAAATGCACGTATCCCAGGCTTGCTCCTGCTTCCTCCAGGGCGTGAGGGGGTCAGGTCTCTGGACTCCACTGCTCCGTTTATAGCGGTCCTTCAGCTAGGTGGGGTGGGGTGGGGTGGGAGTGATAGCCTGGCTGGGTACAGTCAGTCACCAGTGGCAGCTCGCAGGTACTGCACAATGGCGTGGTGACCCTGCTGCTCAGCCAGGTCGACAGGGAGGCGACCCCAGGCGTCTTGTACGTCCAGCCGCGCCCCATTGCGATGCAGGACCGCTAGCGTGTCCAGGAAGCCCTCCCGGGCTGCGTCGTGCACCGGCCAGGTGCGTGTGACCGGATCCTCGAAGTTTGGGTCAGCACCATGTAGTAGAAGTAGCTCTGCTACAGGAGTATTTCCCATCATCATGACCTGTGGGGACAGCGGAGTCGTTAGAGCAACTTCAAGGAGGTGGGAGTGAGACACCATCCCTAGCTCTCCAGGATTCCAGCGGCCACTAGAAAGGGGAAGAAGTTGTTGTTGTTATGTACTGTGGAGTCAGTCACCTGGGACTCATAGGGATCCTATGTACAACAGCCCTAAACCCTGCTCTGTGCTGTGCCAACCTCACTGTCTTAGACAAACCTACCCCGTTATCCCAGTCACTGAATCACTCCACCTGATAGAGGGTCTACCTCTCCTGTGCTGTCCCTCTGCCCTCCCAAGCAAGATGCCCTCTCCAAGGACTAGTCTCGTTGCAACATGTCCAAAGTATGTCAGACTAAGCCTCAGAATCCTTGCCTCCAAGGAGCACTCTGCTTTAACCCTCTCCAAGATGAAATGTGCAAGGAGCTGGAGTCAGAAAATCAAAAGGGCCCAACTTACTTACCATTTCTTAAGCTCAGAGAACTGAAGAACAAATTCAGACTTAAAGTTGCTATACTTAAGGATGCATTGGCAGAATATTAAATGATCCAGGAAGTATTAAAAGTTGATGGAAAGAGTTTACAGAGTCACTGTACCAAAAGGAATTGGCAGACACAGAGGAATTTCATGAAACAACTTATGAGCAAGAGCCTATAGTGATGAAGGAAGAAATTCAAGCTGCTTTGAAGGAATTGGCAAAAAAAATAAGGCCCCAGGAATTGATGGTATACCAACTGACATATTTCAGCTAACAGATATTGCCCTAGATTTGCTCACCAAGTTGTGTCAAGAAATCTGGAGGACAGCCACTTGGCCAACTGACTAGAAGAGATCTCTATTTGTTCTCATTCCAAAAGTTTATAATGTACCCAACCAATCAATGCTGTTTGGTGCTGCCAGGTTGATTACCTCATGGTGACCCTGTGGACTGAATCCTGCCCCATCCTCTCAATCTAACACACATGAGCCTATTGATTGCCCCAGTTGCTGTGTCAGTCCTCACCAAGGGGCTTCTCTCCTCCGCTGACCTGCCACCTTTTCAACAAATACTAAGGCCATTCCCGCCCCCCGCCCAGCTATCCTCATTAAAACAGGCATCGCTCTATCTCACAGGCAGTGTGGCCACTGTGCCATTCTCCCTCTGTCCTCCAACAGCTACTGGAGCCGCAGACCTTCTCTGGAGAAAAGTCTCTTTGTCACGGAGTAGCTGTGGGTTCCAACTGCAGACTTTCTGGTCCCTGAAGCCATCACCAGAACTTAATTGAATTCTACTTTAGTCTCCAAATATGGAGACACAAGAAGGAGCTGGTGACAGAAGTCCTTATTGGGGTGTGTGTGTAAATTTGCAGGTACTTGGAAAGCCATTGTTACACGTTAAGTTTAAGTGCCTTTTAAAAGTTGTGATTTGAGGCCAGAGCAACCCATCTTTGCGAAGGCTCTGTGCGCAACTGGGCCCACAGGCACCTGGAATGAGCCCCCTGCTGCCAACATGCCCAAGAGGAAGGGCCAAAGGGGTGATGAAGGAGTAGCCCAAGAGGAGATCAGGAGGCTGCCAGCTAAGCCACCTGCAAAAGTGGAAATGAAGCCCAGAAAGGCTGCAGGGATGGAGAAATCTTCTGACAAAAAAGTGCTAACAAAAGGGAAAAGGGGAGCAAAGGGAAAACAGGCTGAAGTGGCCAACCAAGAAACTAAAGATTTACCTGCAGAAAATGGAGAAACTAAAAATGAAGAGAAATCCAGCCTCTGATGAAGCAGGAGAAAAAGAAGCCAAGTCTGATTAATATTTGTCCACTATGTCTTATCAGTGGTCCCTGTATCTCCTTTCTTGTACAATCCAGAGGAATACTTTCATCAACTATTTTGTAAATTCAAGTATTTTTTAGTAGCTCTAGAAATATTTTTAAGAAGAAGGAAATCCCACTTCATCCCATTTTTAAGTGTAAATGCTTTTTTATTTTTTGGCACAACCAGAACATGTGGGATGTTAAAATTGTGGGGGGGCTTTGGATGTCAGTGTAACATTCCATGGGGAAAGGGGACAGTTTTTATATCCCATAACAACACATAGCACACTTAATGACAATTTGGAGTCATAGTCACACATTTATGACTTGAACACTTTTAAGTCTATTTTCCATGTTTTTTAGATACATAAGTTGGAACATTGTTTAGCAGAATTTCTTCTTAAACATAACCACTCCCTCATGGCTTTCTGCCTGTCAGAACTGTGTGGGTTCTGTAGCATCTTTGGCCTTGGTAGTATAGTTTTCCTAATAACTTTGTTATGTGATGTGAACGGTTGAAAATTTGAATGGATAGTTTGTGAGAGAGTAAATTGTAAATTAGTGGGATTTAATGATGTGACAGTTTATCAGTTTATCAACAATTGAAGATATTGTTACTTATTTTCTTTATGAAAACTTTCCTCCAGATTTAAAGCTGGAAGGTCACCGGAATTTAGACAAGAATTGTAACTACATGGCTTTTTTAGATTTTTGGTACATGCATTAAGAATTGTATACAGGTTGTTCATAATATCTCTGTAGTGGTCCTTAAAACAACCAATAAAATATAAATCATGAAAGAAAAAAAAAACAGTTGGGATTTGACTCAAGTTGTACAAAGCAAATTAGTTTTTCCTTCAACCGTTCATCCACATTTCATTGACTAATATTAATTTCAGTGCCCTCCATGTGATCCACTTTGCCCACTTCTAGAATCTGGATTTCTGTTAGCCCTTCTCTGAGGCTCTGGTGGCCTCGTCCACAGGCAGTTGGGTGGCTAACACACAGGCAGCATCTCTTGCCTCTCGCCTCCCGGGAATGCAGGAGCTGCTCTGCCTTACTCTTAACTCGCTGAAGGGTTGGTTATTGGTTGGTTCCCACGCCAACTCAGTAAGTGTGAGTTTTCAAATTAATCCTTCTATATCCTGCCCATCTTCCCTTTCTGTAGTGAAACTGTTGATCGTAGCTTATTTGACAGTGCTTTCCACCTATCTTAATATGTGCCCTTTATCTATTTGGAAGGGGGTTTTGGCGACTTATTGGGAAAGAGTTGTGCTGCCAATCCAAAAGGACTCCAGCAGTTTACGCCCGCCCGGGACAGTCTCCTCCCATGCGATTTCCTGCCTCTGAAAACTTGACTGCAGGAGGGGTCTGTCAGCTCTGCATCCGTACTCAAAGGTACAAAACAACAACAATCTAGTTGGTAATTTTCACTCTCACCTTTTTTATCCCTGGTAATCATCCAACAATGATGATACACTTTAAAAATGTTTATTTCCTTTGCTCGCCTTTTTCTTTTGTAATGAAGGTCTGAAAGTATTTACTAGACAAGAAACTGAAACTTCTTAGAAGTTGATAGAATATTAAAACTAAACTGAATTTAAAGAGTTGTACATCCACTGTTCCCTTCTCATGGAGATTCTCCTGTAGGCTTTTCCTTATTTCATATTCAGAAACCAATTGTAGTTTAATAATCTGAACCAAACTTGAAGGTAGAGAGGAAAACATGTCATTTATAATCTCACAAAATGATGAGAGGAGTTGGTTTTAGTAAGCAGATTTTAAGTTAATGGTATAGCTGAAGTTTAGTGTGACTATACTTAACATATCATGTAAATGTATAATTTAATATACCACTATAGCTATAATGTACACTTTGATTAGAGTTTTAGGTTAAAGAGTAAATATTTTGCTGTATATGAAAAAAAGAGCTTGGATATTGCCCATAAAATTAGAACAAGGCATGGCTTAGAAATTCTTTTGCAGAATTCTATAGCATTCATTTGTGTACATACATTATACAAGAATTCTTTTATTTTAATTGAACTATAAAAGCAATTTGTTGATAAAATGTAAAAATTGAAGTGGGGTTTTTTTTTGTGTTTTTTTTGTTCCTTGTGGGTTAATATGCTTTAAAATGTACCATTTGTCAGAAAGACAAATCTATAATTTTTGTTTCGTGTCTATTAGAAAACACATTTGGTCCTTTAAAAATTATATGATTTAGAATTTCTACTAGTGATGTAAAGGAGCCTATATTTAGAGAAAATGAAATTGGCTTTTTCAATCTCAGAAGATGGCTTACAACTTTAGAAAACCAAAACATGATGTTTTAAAAAAATCACTTATAAAATATTTTTGTGACCTTTAAACAGTCCTTTATTTATTATTTTGATTTTTGAAGAATTGCAATGCATTCAAAAGGAATGAATATCCATTTCTTTAAAAATCTACATTGTTGATAAAACGTCTTAATAGTAGCTTACCTCTGAAAGGCAGTGGTGAAGTACTGAGTATGAAACATTACTGTTAATAGTAATATACAAAAGTATTAGCTTAGATTTTAATGGAACCTAAAAGCGCTAATTAAAGTGGAAAGCTAAGCCCTTGATGCGGAGACTAAGCACTTCAGGATTAAACAACCCAGGAGGAAAGTGAAAGGAAAGATTATGCGTAGTTTTATAGATTGAGGTTCTCAGTCCCAATCAACTCCAGGGCTAAGGGTAGATTAATAAAGGTGACATTAATGATTAAACATATAGAATAAAAAGTATTTTATGAATTAAGAGGCTCATTACTTATGAAGACCTTTCAACACTAAAAAACTATTAGTTTCCCCCTGAATTTTTTTCAACCCAAGAATGCTGTATGCTAATTCACCCCATATTTATGAAAATACATTTTTTTGGAAGTAGGAGTGACATCCACTTCCTTAATAACATGCCTCCAGAAACTCTATGAACTTTGATAAATATCTATAGTTGTAGAGGGGCCTTTTGTTCATAGGGTCGCTATGAGTTGTGCTCGACTCCAAGGGAGTCAACAATAACAACTATATATATATATAATCTCTATCTACATATATATATAATCTCTATCTACATATATATATGTAATCTCTCTATCTACATATATATATGTAATCTCTCTACATATATATATGTAATCTCTCTATCTACATATATATGATCTCTCTATCTACATACATATATATCTATATATCTCTTATGTAACCCTCAAGAGACATTGCTAATAAAGGAAATGTACTGTAACCCTCAAGAGACATTGCTAATAAAGGAAATGTACTATGGCTGAGGATTCCCAACTTATTCCTTTGTATTCAGTTCTCTATGAGGAAAGAGAACAAAAGGATTTCAAAGGGAGACTAAATAAAAAGTCCACGGCGAATAATATTTTTGAAGTGCTATGATCGTGCAGAATTTCTTAAATCGAATCCAGATTGTGGAATCTATACATTACATATCTTTGTCGTTGAGAGTAGACAGACAAAACAAAACGGTACCCCTCCCCGTTTCCTTATTCCCTTCTCCCCTTTCTTTCCCCAAATGAACACATTTCTTGCATCTCTGATCTTACAGCAGAGCAAATATCGCGTCTCTTTTTTGTCAACTACCAGGGGGACAAATCAGACTCGGTGTTTTTAAAAATATTTCTTTAGGATTGTTGCTTTGTGGAAACCTGTTTTAACTCCGGAGCTCCAGACCTTCAGGAAAAGGCTTATGACAGGTCTGTGTTGGCGGCTGTCAAGTTTCCCAGCCCCGCAGCCCCGGAGCCTGGGAGCCAGCGCTCGCTCGCCCCCTGCCGGCCGGGCCGCGGGCCCCGCAGGTACCTGGATCGGGCGCCGCCCGAAGCGGTTCACTTGGTTGGGATCCGCGCCGCCTTCCAGGAGCTGCCGCACCGTCTCCACTTGTCCCCGCGCCGCGGCGTTGGCCAGGTCCGCACCGCCGCCTCCCACCATGCTCTTGTCGTCTTCGCGCATTCCGGCCACTCTCAGAGGCGCGCGGGCAGAATACTCCACCGCTGGCCCCTTCGTTCCTCCCTGTCCACCCCGCTCCAGCGCGCCCTCCTGCCGCCGGGAGAGCTGAGCAGTGTCAGTCGTCTCCCGCCCTCCTCCTGCGGCTTGGGCAGCCGGCAGCTAGCTAAGCGCACGCTGCTGGCCGGCCCCCGGGAGAGGGCACCGTGAGCGGCCGCAGCTTGAGCGAAAAGCCGCCCCGACTGCAGTGCGAGCGTGCCAGGCGTCCGCAGCGAACCGCCGCCGGCCGGCTCTCGGGAGTGCAGAGCCAGCGGGAGTGAAGTCCCAGGCTGGGCAGCAGCCCGGCTCGCGCTCGCCCCGCCCCCTCAGGCCACGCCCCCTGCTGGCCGGCCCTCGCTGGCCCGGCGTCTGGGCTGACGTCACAGCGGACCAGCGTGGTGGGGGATGGGGAGGGAGGCCCGCCGGGCGGCACTGGCACGCATGCGCACACGCTTGCGCGCCACCCATCTAGGAACGCGGAAAGTGCCGCTCGCTCCTTTTCTCCCAGAACCGAGAGGCTGGATTTTTGGAAAGGTTGACCCGCTGCACTCAGCTCTTAATCCCCAGAAGGCGGAGCAGAGGACTCTATTCCTATCAGCTCAACAGCAGCTGGTTTCACTGTTGTACCTTATGTAATTAGCATCAGAGGGAAATGCATTTAAAGAATGCTAAGGTGTCCGAAAGTGACAGTTCTGCACTTGCCGTGCAGGTTAAATCCATCCCGTCAGGACTTGACACTCACAAGGTTCACAACATGCATCAATCTTAGCAATTTTCTTGTGGGATATGTTTTCCTAGTTGAATCTGTCAACCAGGAGAACAGTGGAAAAATCCCGAGAATCTTGTTTTGCTGTGCTTTTTACTCTTTCTTTACATCTTTGAACTACAGGTTAAAAACCAACAAAACTTGTTGCCATGGAATGAATTCATATGTTACAGAATAGAAACTGAGGAGGATCTGATGTGTTGGATCAAGGACTGCAGTCTCCCAATATAGATTGAAACAGCACCAAGATGACAAAAATTCTCACCACAGGGCCAATTGGCAGCACCATGATAGATGGAGAAGAGATTGAGGTTGTTAACAAGTTCAGCTTGCTCGGCTCCACAATCAATATTCTTGATACCATCAGTCAAGAAATCAAAAGACAAAGTTCATTGGGAAAACATGCCATCAGAGATCTCTCTAGAGTGCTACAGAGGAAGGATGTCAGCATAGAGACTAAGGCCTAGTCCAGGCCGTGCTCTTTGTAATTAATTGCTATGCATCAGAAAGCTGAACAGTAATTAAGGATGACAGAAAAAGAATCAATGCTATTGAGTTGTGGTGCTGGAGAGTATTGAACATACTATAGAACGCTAAGAGAACAAACAGGTTTGTCCTAGAGTGGGTGAAACCAAATAGCTCTTTGGAGGCAAGGATATTTGAAGCTCAGTCTCATACTTTGGACATGTTGCCGGGAGGGACAGGTCTTTGGAGAAAGCCATCATGCTCAGAAGGATGGAGGGACAGCGCAGGAGAGGAAGACCCTGGATGAGATGGATTGGCACAGTAGTAGGCAATGGAGGTGGGAGTATGTGAGGCAGTGAGATTGGCTTAGGATAGGATAGCGTTCAGAGCTATCATGCATAGGGTTGCTATGAGTTGCAGACAACTTGATGGCACATAACAGAGAAGGGAGTTCTGGTGGTGTAGTGCTAAGAAGCTGCCTTGCAGACCCAAAGGCCTGAGATTCAAATCTCCCAGCTACTTCATGGGAAATGGAGGGTAGTTTTCTCCCATGCAACTTACTGCCTCTGAAAATCCTCTGGAGGGTTAACTGTGGGTCAGTTTTGACTGATGGCACACAACAATAGCAATCTTTAAGGAAGAAGATGGCCAGGCAACATCTTGTTGTTGTTATGTGCTGTCAAGTCACCCACAACTCATAGCGATCCTATGTACAACATCTCTGAACCCTGCCCTATCCTGAGCCAGTCTTACTGACTTCAATACACATACACCCTCTCCCCCTCACACCTAACCTTCTCTGAAGAGGTCCCTGACAGCAGATTTTCAGTGCAGTTCTTCTTTTGATTTCCTGACTGCTGGTGCCAAGAGTGCTGATTGTGGTTCCAAGGAAGCTGAAGTTGTTATCAACCTCAATCTCTTCTCCATCTATCGTGGTGCTGCCAGTTGGTCCAGTGGTGAGAATCTTTGTCTTCTTTTTTTTTTATTATTATTATTAAATTTTATTAGTTTCAATGAACATTCACAGGGATTCTGGGCTTTCACTCCTTCATTGCCGCACCATTCTCTCCACCCTCCTCCCCAGTTTGTTCTTCTTCCCCACCATCTGAATGTCTGTTTTAATTGTCCAATTGCCACAGTGCTTGTCAAAGTCAGTTCTGATTAATCTCCTTTGTCGGTGTGTCCTTTGCCATTCCCTATCACTCCTCCCTGAGAGAGACTTCACCCTGATTCATAAGGAAAAGGGGATGGTGTATTCTCTTAGCTACTTCCTGCTGAAAAGGGATGCTGTGGGTTTCAGGGTGAAGATCTTCTCTCACTACTCTAAAGGGCCCCTTTGGCAGTAGGAAACACATAGACTATTATGGAGATTGATTTTGGAATTTAGATGCACTGTTATTAATTGTGCTTGGCCGTACATGTTCATATCCTTGAAGATGTATCATGGGGGTGTTGCAACCTAGAAGACACAAATTTGACTAACAAGTTATAAGTACATGAGTCAAAAATTATGGAAAAGTAAAAGAAAAGATTCTTAAGGATTCTTTCATTGTTTTACAAACCCTCCCCCAGGTTCCCTCCACCATGTAGCCCTCGCTCTAGACTCCTGTGATGACAGAAGTACCTAGTCGTATATCTCTTTTAAACAGTTTTCTCCCTCCTCTGTTTCAGTGCAGTATACATTATTGAACCCATCTTACTCAGTCTCTCCCCAACCCCAAGGACAGTCCCATTCTACAACAGTGGCATCATGTAATATTTGTCCTTTTGTGACCGAGATATTTCACTCAGCATAATGTTCTCCAGAGTCAACCATTTTGAATAATATTGCATGAGTTCCTTGTTTTTTAATGCAGCATAGTATTCCATTGTGCGAATATACCACAGCTTCTCTAGCCATTCGTTTGTTGATGGGCACTTAGGTTGTTTCCAACTCCTTGCTATTGTGAACAAAGCTGCAATAAACATGGGTGTGCATATATCTGCTTGGATGCCAGCTATGGTCTCTTCAGGGTATATTCCCAGTAGTGGAATTGCTGGGTCAAATGGTATCTCTATTTGCAACTTTTTGAGAAAGCGCCATACTGCTTTCCATCTTTGTCTTCTTGATGTTGAGCTTCAATCCATGTTGAAGACTACAGTCCTTGACCTTCTGTAGCAAGTGCTTCAGGTCTGCCTCAGTTTCAAGAAAACAAGTTTGTGTCATCTGCATAACGTAGGTTGTGGATGAGTCTTCCTCCAATCCTGATGCCACATTTCTCATAGAGCCCAGCCTCCTGAATGATCTGTTCTGCATACAGATTGTATATTATTACCTAACTTGGGAGGAACTGGAGAGCATTATACTGAGTGAACTCGGTCCCACAAGGATAAATATTGTATAAAACCATTATTGTAGAGTGAGTATAAGGATCCAGGAGGGGTGGGAGAGGCTGGAGCAGAGGGATATGGATGTGCAGAGGGAGGGGGATTAATCACTGGGTTGTACAATTTGATGGGGATGGTGAGGAAAATTGAAAGAATTTTTTCGAATTTGTATTTGAGTTTTGTAAATAAACTAGTAGAAGGAAAAAAAAAGATATTGAAGGTCGCAACCTGGCACAGAAATGATTTGAAAAACTTACCCTTCTCATCAGTGGTTATTTTTTCATTATAATTATGATATACATCTTTCATTAGCACTTTATTTGAATCCACCCTGATGAGTTTTAGGAGCTCTGGTGGCATGGTGGTTAAGTGCTGGGCTGGTGACACAAAGGCTGGTGTTTGAACTCACAGAAGAAAGGGGAGACAGTCTGGTAAAGATGTCAGACTTGGGACCCTGTGGCAGCAGGTCTATAAAATAATCAATTGTAGGGACAATGGGTTTGAGTTTTGGTCAGCAAGTATTTGATTTTTATTTGTAATGAGTAATAAAGGAAATGCATGTGAGCAATAAAGGAAATTTATGTGGTAATAATGGAACATAATAAAATAAAGGTGTGGTGCTGGGCCTGTCATTAAACAGGCTGAACCTGTCATTATACCTCCTCTGAAGATTTAAAGACCTAGTGCATGTTTTTTCTTTCTTGTTAGTCTTCTAAGATGAGTTTCAGTGAACCCTGTTCATTGCTTTGAAGATTTAACAAAATTGTAACTAATGCTATATTCTAGTAAGAAGTGAATTAAAAAAATTATTAATCTGTTGCCTGAAGAAGACTGAGGAACTACATGAGAGCAGATTTTTCTTAAAATCAAACTATTATTTGTAAAGTTCTTTTGATTCAGAAGACTGAAGAAGACAAGTAAACAGAGGCTTAAAGAGAGGCTCGGCAACGGGTTACATTCTCATGAACAAGAGACTTGGCATGATTTCCCCCCCACCCCACTGGCTATCTTAGCTCAATTTCCCCTCCCTCTCGTCCCCTGTAGAATGACGAAAGAGGCCTTTTCTTTAAAGACAGTGGGAATCATGGAAGTGAAGATTAGTGCTGAAGATCTGAACCAGCTTCAGCCGGCCGACCCCTGTCTTCTTCACAAGGTAGAGAGGAAGCAGCTGTAGGAAAAAATTTTTCTCTTTCATCCAACCTCCATTTTTTAGTTTTCACCTGAGTTTTCTAGTTTATCACTCTTAGGTGACATTCTTTTTTTTTTTAAAGAGCATTTTAAGGGCGCTCTGCTGGTGGCAAGAAGCTGCACTGCGATTCCAGAGGCACGCAGTTCAAATCCACCAGATGCTGTGCTGGAAAAGGAGGGG